ACAGTTGGGTTCTGACTGACCTTGAAACATTGCCCCCCTCCCCCCTACAGTTGGGTGCGGACCTCTGGCCAAGCAGAAGAAGAAGAAGATGATGTACCTGTCCGACAAGAACGCAGGTGAGATGACTTCAAGACTTCCTAAATTGTCTTAGCGTTTTCTAGTGAAAGTATAAGCATGTCAGAGGTAACACCTGTAACTCACCAGTAACACTTGCAGTTGGGTTCTGACTCATGACCTTGAAATGTTGCCCCCCTCCCCCCCAGAGTTTGACTGTCACGAGCTGCCGATCTACGAGGTTGCCAAAATGCCTCCGTTCCAGCGTAAGACGCTGATCCTGATTGGTGCTCATCATTAACCTGGTTAATGAGTTAATTAACTCCTGTGTCCAATCATTAACTTGCAGAGTTTGACCGTCACGAGCTGCCGATCTACGAGGAGGTTGCCAAGATGCCTCCATTCCAGCACAAGACGCTGATCCTGATTGGTGCTCATCATTAACCTAGTTAATGAGTTATTAATGAGTTAATTAACTTCTCTGCAGAGTTTGACCGTCACGAGCTGCCGATTTACGAGGAGGTCGCCAAGATGCCTCCGTTCCAGCGTAAGACGCTGATCCTGATTGGTGCTCAGGGCGTCGGCCGGCGCAGCCTCAAGAACCGACTCATTCTCAGCGACCACGAGCGATTCGGAACCACCATGCCACGTACGTACCCAACATGCACTGCTCTACCCAGCAGGCACTGCTCTAACCAGCAGGCACTGCTGCTCCCAGCAGGCATTGTAACTCGTGTTAAACTAAACTCTCAAGAAAGCTCATCTGTGTTGGTAACTAACATTGCATGGGTAAAGTTAAAACTTTAGATCCAACACGAGAAGTTCTCTCACCTAGAGCTTTCCACCTGTCACTCTGGTCTTCCTCAGTAGACTGACATCGTCTACCTGAAACCTTTGACCCAGTGTTGACGTCACACTTTAAACAAGTCATGTGAGTGACTGGTGGAAAGCTCTAGGTGAGAGAACTTCTTTGTGTTGGACCAGAAGTTTTAACTTGAAACACCTTAAACTTAACTTGTGTGTAACTCATGAATTAGACTTTATGGCATACAACTAACTACACCTTGCTAGCAAATTTTGTTTCTACATGGTTGGGTAGCATTCTGTCACTTGGGTTGTTCTAGAGGATTGATTGTGTTTGATGACAGATTTACACTGTTTCTCAGCCAGTTTTACTTCAGAATCTACAAGTTGGGGGATAATCAGACATCTGGGTTGTTTTGTGTTACCACCAAAACTTTTATTCTGTGCAGTGATTTGGTTTTAGGTATAGACTTTGGTGTAGACCAAGTAACAAGTTAAACAGCCGTCAACATTACAGAAATTACATCCAAAAAAAAGAAGTCATGTACATGTACATAGAAGTCTGTGCATACATCCTTAACAATTCTGACAGTCACACATCTCAAAGAAAAGTGTTGAAAAGGTGCAGAGTGTCTGAAATTTGTCCATATCTCAACTTTCAGTTTCAGTTTCAGTTTTATTCAGATCCACAATTAGCCTCATAAGAGGCTATTCTTCCTGTGGTCTACACATTCATATTTACATACATATATTACAAACGTACAAAAACATTACAAAATTAACAGTACATGGCAAACTTTACACAAATTCACTATTTACAATCCAGTACTTTGCTAGTTGCCTATGTTATTCTGAAAAATTATTATTCACTGAAAACTATATTATTATGAAAAAACTTTGCACTTGCATTGTGTTTGTCTGCTTATGCAAGCAATCAAGAACCATGTCATTGCTGCATTATGCATGGCAAAACCTTGTCATTGCTGCGTTATCTGTGGCAAAACCACGTCATTGCTGCATTATCTGTGGCAAAACCACGTCATTGCTGCATTATCTGTGGCAAAACCACGTCATTGCTGCATTATCTGTGGCAAAACCATGAAATTGCTGCATTATCTGTGGCAAAAGCACCTCATTGTTGCATTATCTGTGCCAAAACCACGTCTTTGCTGTATTATATGTGGCAAAGCTATGCCATTGCTGCATGAAATTGTCCAAAACCACTCAGTTGCTGCATCAGAAAATTTGCTGAAAACCATCCCCATATTGCTGCAGAAAAAAAACAAATAAAATATGACAATGTGGCAAAAAAGAGTGATTTTTTCTGCTGCTCAGCTGATTAAAGTGTGTTTTCTCCTTAGATGCTTCTCGGCCCCTGCCAGGAACCAGCCAAGGTCAAACTCATGCATGAAGGTCGTTTGTCTGCAGGGGTTCATGTTGGCTACATGTTGCAACATTGGCAACATGGTGGTTACTTTCAGCACCGTTCAAGTTTCCAAAAGTTTAGTCTTTGGAAAGCTTGGCCATGGAAGGAAAAAATCTTAATAAAACATGCTATTCCTGATTGATTTTCTTGTCTTTCAGAAATAAATTCAGCACAAAGGAAGAACAAGAAAAAAATGAGGAAAACTTCATTTCTCACTTGAAAAAAAGCTCTACATGAACCCCTGTTTTTACAAAAAAAACCCAACAAATTGATGATCAAAATCAAATATTATTGTTTACAATCAGACCATCTAATTAGCAAGGATAATCAACGATGATTTGAGCCACATCAAATAATCAGATCATCAATCCACAGATTTTTGCGTGTTTGCAATGATTGCCAGTTGCCATGGTTTTCCTTGATTGTCCTGTGATGTCATGAGATCAGAGTGCCGTGATTGGTCAGTTCTGATTGCTGCTTGGCAACATGTTTGTCTCTTTAGAATTACTCTTTCTACATTTTTGTCATTAAGTACAAAACTATAGAAAGTAGTAGTAGTGGTAGTAGTAGTAGTAGTAATAGAAAGTTGTAGATTAGATTTTACATATTTTTTGTAAAAGTCTTCAATTTGTGTCCTTCCATCTCTCTTGAGTTCTGTTCTTTCTGACAATGACTCTTCTTTCTTATCTAAACACATTCACCATACCTGGGGGACAACACACACTGTAGCAATGTTCAACTGTAGCAATATCAGGTCTAGTCATAGTGTGTCCACATTTAAAATGTTGCCAATTTGCTACACCTTCCTAATAAGGGATTGTGGCAAAACAAATGTCAGAAGGTCTCTCTTCTCACTGATGTATCAACTGGTTTATTGACCAATCAGCATCTCTGTAACAATGATGTACACCTGTATATCATAGGTTCTTGTATCTCATTGGCTGACTGATGTATCAGCTGGTTTATTGACCAATCATCTGTAACAATGATGTACACCTGTATATCACAGATTCTTGTATCTCATTGGCTGTCTAATGTGTCAGTGCTGGTGTATTGACCAATCAGCATGTCTGTAACAATGACTAACACCTGTATCACAGGTTTTTATATCTCATTGCTCAACTGCAAGGAGCTGGTTTAATATTGACCAATCAGCATCTCTGTAACAATACTTCACACCTGTATCACAGGTTCTTATATTTCATTGGACGATTGCAAGGAGCTGGTTGCCTCGGTAATTTGGATGACCTTGACTTGTCTCGCGCCGGTTGATTTGAGGATGAAGCTAAAGGCGCAACCGGCCACCACGGTCGAAAACCTCGACAATTCCGGTAAAAAATAACTGAAAACCGCAAACATTGATGATGCAGAAATTGACTGAGAATCTTCTGCATGGCACATTCTTGCTGACTTTAAAAGCATGCAAAGAAAACCTCGAAAATTCTGGTAAATAAAATGAAAGCAAAAAATTCATGCAAAAATTGCCTTTTTACTATTCTTCTGCATGCATGGAACATTTCTTGATGACTTTAAAGGCATGTACATGTAAGTCAGGCTCTGAAGTATTGAAAGCAAAAAGTACAAAAATTTAATTCTTTTTACAGTTATAATTTGACACCTTTCTTTACAAGGGTTTCATATTCTTAGTAATACATGTTTTGTTTTGTGTCTGAAGGTCTCATTTTAACTAGTTGGTTTTCCGTTTGTTTGAACTCATAGGCTCTGGTTTTGTCAGCTCAAACAGGACTTTGTGATCTCCGAACGTTCTTGTTCTTAGTTGTGAACCTGAGAAGCTGAACTTGATGTATTCTCCCAACTCAGCTGGTTTGTGCCAAAATGTTGTGTTTTTCCTGTGTCAAACTTTGGTCACAAACTTTTGCTGATCTCACAAAAACTTCCTCACATCACGCTAGATGCTAGGCTGAGGCATGCTGGGATACATCATGTGATATCTGACCTTGAGAATTGACATTCCTTCTGCCACAGTTCCTGTAACCCCCTGAAAATCTTGACATAGTTTTCCTTCTGTGTGTCCATCTGTAGTTTCTGTTCTTGTCTCAGACTGTTGTTTCTCTGGGTAAGGAGAGCAGGGAAGGGATACTACATTGTATTGTCTGTGTGTGTCTGTCTGTACGTGTGTCTGTACGTGAGTCTGTAGCTGCTAACCCTGCCCCCCTCCCCCTACAGACACCTCCCGTGCCCCCCGTGAAGGTGAGGAGGACGGTAAGGGGTACTACTTTGCCGACAAGTCTGCGATGCAGCAGGACATCCGTGACCACAAGTACCTGGAGTCCGGGGAGTACGAAGGGAACCTGTACGGAACCAAGCTCGACTCCGTGCGAAACGTCATGCGCTCAGGCAAGATGTGCATCCTGGACGTCAACCCGCAGGTCAGTGGGGCAACGAACTCCGGTAACCTGGGGTCATATGGGGGTCATAGGTCATTGAACTCAACCTGGGGGTCATGGGGGGTTATTGAACCCAAGTAACCTGGGGGTCACAGGGTCACTAAACTCTGGTAACCTAGGGGCATGGGGGGTCACTGAACTCTGGTAACCTCGGGTCATGGGGCTCTCTTTTGACTTCAGGAACCAAAGGTCTTGAAAACTGTGTCATTCCTCCTGAAGTTTTCTCTGTCTAAGATGTTTCTATCTTGTCTTCAGGCGCTGAAAGTCTTGAAGACGCCGGAGTAAGCAGAGTTTATGCCGTTCCTTAAGTTTGCTGTGTTTAAGATGTTTCTATCTTGTCTCCAGGCGCTGAAAGTCTTGAAGACGCCGGAGTTCATGCCGTTTGTCGTCTTCATCGCGGCTCCGAGCGTCGAAACGCTGAAGGAGATGCACGAGCAGGCGCGGGCCGAGGGAGCCACCAACAAAACTCTCACGGTAACAAACAAACAAACAAATAAACATGCTTACTGGGGGGACTATACCATAACAATGCATGGGAGCGCCTCCTTGTGATTTTCTGGGGTATTGCAGTTGTGTTGAATATTGTGTGGTTGATGGGAAAACCTTACAGCTGTGCAACTGGCCTTCTGAGTCTGACAATGAATACTCACTGATTGTTTCATGTAGCATGATCACCTCCTTGTGACTTTCTGGGGTATTGCACTCATTTGAAATACTGTAGTAGGTGATGGGATGGAAACATCACAGCTGTGCAACTGGCCTTCTGACAATGACTTACATCCAGACACTGTTTCATGTAACGTTACATGTAGCATGAGTGCCACCTTGTGCCAACAAGTGGTACTGCACTTACTCATGTGAAAGTGATACAAACCTCACAGCTGTGCAACTGGCCTGGTGCAGTATTTATTAACTCTTTCCTTTACGCCAATGTTACATAGTATAAGCGCTACCTTGTGGCCATCAGTGGTACTGCACCATAAATGGATTAACACTTTGTTTGGGCCTTTCTGTACACTAAATATTGTGTATCTGCTTCTGTTCTGTATTGTTGCCTGTGTCGGTTTTTCTAATTCAGCTGAAACAAGATTTCCTTTTGTTTTCGAGAAGACATCATGCACGGGAGGATGTGATGGGGGTTATCTGGATATTTATGTCATCCTGTGCTTGCCATGTTTTTCTAACTATTAACTCTGGTTCACTGCATAATTTCTCCCCATTCAGACCCTCAGATTTGAAACATTGTTTCTGTGACATGTGTTATACTACATGCCCCATACACACCCTAAACCTCTCTCTAGCCTCACCCAACCAAAAGAGCTGAGTTCACATTTGAGGAACGGAGGGAAGGAAAGAGCCAGGAGAAGGAGGAGAAAGCCCCTGTGGCGAAACTGAAGAAGGTGTGGCGACTGTTGATCAAACTTCTGGTCATCATTTTCTGTCTTTTTTATTCCTAACATTTGATATTCTCTGTTATATTTTCACGAGCTCATGATCGCCATATGAATTTATGTTCCCTTATGACTAATGCCCATGACCTGCTACATTGTGCCCTGACATTTGACCCTTGCCCTGTACCATCTGACCTCCAACAGGCTTTGACAGTGGACAGAGAAGGTTCGGAAGAGAAGGTCGGAGAATTCTGCTTCATGATTTCATGATTGTTTCTTGGTGGCTGAGATTTTTAATTTTTGTCTACTTCAGAACAGTTGTGTGCTTGTGTCTCTTTCTTACTGTATTTAAGTTAATGCCTGTGCTGGCATCTTGTCTGAATGTCTGCTGTGTTTGTTTCTATTTGAATGTCTCCCGTGTATGTTTCTGTGTCTGTTTGATTTCCCGTTGTTTGTGACGTGTTCTGTTGTTCCTGTAAACTGTAGGAAGAAGGTTCGGCACTCATGAAAAGGGTAAAAAAAGATGCTTCTGTCTCTGTCTCAATTCTCCAAGCAATAGCATGAATGTGTGTCTTTTGTGATGTTTTTTCTATTGACATTCTGAAACTTTATTTTCATTACATCTTATTTTTCTGTGTTTGTGTTATGTTTTTTCTCCTTTCTATACTCTCCACTACGGTACACTTGACCCTTACTGTGTAACCTGCACCCTTTGACCCCAACCTGTACCCTTTGACCCCTGACCTTAGGCACACCTGGAGATTAATCATGACAGACAGAGTTTCATGGAGAGGAAAAAACAGGTCAGAAATTTGGAGGTTTCAAACTCAGATATAAGCTGTAGCCTTACACCATGTGAAAACATCCAAACAGCAAATAAGAATGATTATTATAAGTCTTATGAAGAATGTGTGTGTTATTTGGAGCATGCACTTGTTGTGTTGTTTGTCAGTTGTTACAACATTTCCTCCAGTTTTCCAAAACTAGTATTGACTGACACTTTCTTGTTGAGTTGTTGAGTCACGAGTAGTATCCTGTGTCCCTTGTGATTCGTAATTAGGAGGAGGAGGAGGGATCCAACCAAGAGGAGGAGAAAACCATGGGCAATCTGATACAGAGGGTCTGGCAATCAATCAGTCAATCATTAAATTCTCCTGTCTTTTCATTTTCGTTGTTCTGTTTTGAGTTTAATTTGTTTCCTGATTATTGTTTGTCAAAATGATGAGTACATGTATGTCCCAAGTTCATTTCAGGCCAAATTGTTTGTTTGTTTGTTTGTTTGAGCCTTTATTTCAACTCGATCTGTAACAGTGTTACATGCTCTAATCGGCCGCTATTTCGGCCGCTTTTCATAGAGGTCGAGCGTGGAGGAGTGTCAGGGGGTCATAACATAAATACTACTTGCTCACAAATGAAGAACAAAGTAATATTTTTATACATAAGGTAACTCACACAAAGTAAATATATTATAAATTCAGTCATATATTAGTAATTTTAAAGATTTTATTTGAAACCTTTTCTCCAGTTGCTGTTTTTTTATCGTTTTTGTTTCCAGGCTCAGAAGGAAATAACCGAGGATCGACAGTCGTACATTGAGAAAAAGGTTCTTACTTTGATTTCAACTCCTTATTTATCATTTCTTCAAACAAGCTGCAATCTCTCATTCCTTGAACCACGATCTTGAAATAACCCTCAAGACTTAATGATTTAAGTGAGAGAATTGGGGTTGATGTAGTGGTAACTTGAAGACATCTGAAGAAGTTTTTTCTGGCTCCTCCACAGGAGAAGGAAGGAACCCCGACTCCTGACAAGGGGGAACCTTCTAACCTCATACAGAGGGTGGGTCTCGCAACAGGCTTCTTTTCTTGTTTCTTTTCTTCTTTCTCTCATTTTTTGCTTTCATTTTGTCATCAGAAACTTAAGGGAAACTGTCGTATTTTCTGTCACTCGTGTCTTCTTCTGTATGACTTTATTGTCTGTTTTTTAAGATCAGCTGCCTGGACTGAGATTTTAGTGATGTTGTGAGTGAGAAAGTCGGGTTCAGAAACTCTGTTGTTTCTCACCCTGTATTGTTGAGTGATGTTCCGAATGAGACAGTCGGTAAACTTTTCTGTTTCTGTCTCTCAGGCCAGAATGGAACGACAGCAGTCAGTCAGCTCACACAGGGTAAAACCTACATGTGGCTCTTTCTGGTCCACTTTCTGTTGTTTTATCTTTTTGCTTTCCTTACCAATCATCAAACTCTACACTGTAATAATACAGCCATATCTGAATTCCACCCATTGTGAACTCACTGCTGTTCTTGTTGTGTTTTTTTTATAACCACATATGACCTTGTCTCCCAATGTCAACCATATGTTCCCTACCCATCATGCACCATTACCCTTCATGCCCCATTACCCACGGTGCACCAGGATTCCAACCAGCCTGGGATGGAGGCCGTGGATGTAGGTTTAGTTATCAATATATCAATATTGATTATTTATCAATGGGGCGAAATGTCACAGCAGTCACTCCCATAGATTTTTTGCAATCATCTGTATTTCATTTTATTTCATTACTTATTTTATTTCATTTTATCTGCATTATGCATTTTATGTTACCATCCAATATGGCTGACAGCACTTACATTACATTTGAGCTGTTGACTGGAATTTATTTTTCAATAGAAATTTGATTTCAGCTTTGCTTTCTGCCTTTTCTTGTTTCTGCTTTCTGTTCCTGAGCTTTTCTTGCTTTATTAACATTTTCATCATGTCACTGCCCAAACACTTTACAGAAAAGCCTGCGAGTCCAGGTAAACCTCAGCTGAACTCACATAAACTTGTCTCCTGACCTCACGTTTTTCTCTGCTGTTGGCTTCAGCTGTAGACTTGTGTTTTCTCTGATTCTGATTTCCTCATTTCCATTGGTGATGATCAGCTGATCATATGATTAGCAGATCACACACAAACCTGGATATTTCTGTACGTAATGAATGCCCCACTTCCTTTCTACCACCCCTCCCCTTCCCCTCCCCCCCCCCCCCCCCACGGCCATCATGACAGCAACAGAAACCAGAGCTCAGCCCATCCCTCTGGTACGTCATTGTGGCAGCAAGCTCTGATTCTCACAGATATTTTCTGTATTCTTATTCCTGTGTTTCAATATTCTTGTTGATGATTTCTGTACTTCTCTGCCTTATTTGCAGGAGGAACTGGCTGGACCGCAAACACCACAAGAAACCATGGACAGGGAGAAGGTCTCAGTTTCAACAACTTTCAGTCTTATGACTCTTATCACAAGTTTTCTACTGCTGCCTCTGAACAAACTGTCCTGAACCAACCAAATCTTTGTGACTGTCAGAAAATTGAATCATCAAGGACTGAATTGTCCGCAAGTTTGTTATTTCATTAAACTTAAGATATGAAGCAACATGTTAGCTTTTCTGATGGTTTCCTTTCCATGCAGTGTTGAAGTTTTTCCTGACTTCTTTTCTAGTTTCTTGAGTAACATTTTTCTTGTGTATCTCATTACCTGGATATCTAACCTTCTTGCCATGTTTTTATGTGTTGTTATTTCAAGCACTACCAGACAGGTTTGGGCAGGAAGGTGCAGGAATGGGAACTGGTAAAAACTGACGCCATGTCTGCATCTCAACTTACACACTACAGGAGTGATAACCCCACCCCCCTGGTGCTGGCACCCCCCCCC